CAGCAGCAGCAGCAGCAGCAGCAACAACAACAACATCAAATGCAGCAGATGATGGCGCCCGTCTTCCAACTCAACGGTAACAACAACCTGATGGGGGGAGCAGACTTTTCCTCCCAGCTGGGCGGATCGGGGCCGGGGGAATTCAATCCACAGTGGCGCTTCCCTGGCGACGGAACGCAGCCGGCCAACTTTGCAGATGGTGCGTCTGCACAGCCGAAACTGCGAAGATCCAGCAGCGCGCGACACAGCTCTGCGGGAGGACACCGCCGACTCACGCACTCGGAGGACCTATCGCGCAGCCGAATGTACCAGGGCGCTGACGAGGACTTCCTCGCCAAGATCACCGCGCCCGACGGAGGACTGGCACCGCCGTCCGCAGGACGCTCGGTTTCGTCGAACAACGCTGGACCGAGCAGCCACCAGACGTCGTCGCCAAGGGTACACCCCTACCGCACAGGCCACGACCGACACTTTTCCTTTGGGTCCAATACGTCCAACAGTAGCACCACATCTGCCTCGCCGTTGCCGCACTTCAGGGGCACGGTTGGCTACGACGCTGCGGGCAACTTGGTGCAGTATTCGTCTGACGTGTTTGGCGGCATGAGCGGAGGCGCGGAGGATGCTGCGCAATCGCCATCGGCGTCGAGTGCGGCTTCGGCAACGAGCTCGATGCTGGGAGCACCGGCCGTGCCGGTTGTCACGAGCCAGGCGACGCAAGCGGCTTCGGCGTCGCGGCGAAAGTCGGAGGCGCTGTTTGCGTGCCCGATTCCGGGATGCGGCTCGACGTTCACGAGGCAGTACAACCTGCGCGGCCATCTGCGATCGCATGCGGATGAGCGGCCGTACAAGTGCGACTGGCCCGGTTGCGACAAGAGTTTCGCACGCTCGCACGACTGCAAGCGCCACCAGAATCTGCATCTCAACATCAAGCCGCATACGTGCGAGCAGTGCGGCAAGACGTTTGCACGTCTGGACGCGCTCAATCGGCATCACAAGAGCGACACCGGCGGTTGCACCACCAAGAGCGACGGCGAGAGCCAGTCGAACGAAACCGACGGGTCGTCGATCTCCGGTGCCTACGATGGAGCGGATTCGGATCGCGGTAGCCAAAATTGGGGGCAAGGCGATGCGGGAGCAGCTGCGGCTCCAGCAAGCTCCGGCAAGACGTTTGGTGGCCATGTGCTGTAATGGCGCAAGCATGCGTCCGGTCTGTGCGGGCACAGATTCCGGGCCGCAAGGCAGCTTGCCCAGCATGACCCGGCTGCCAGCTGACAGGAGTGGCTCTTTGCTGTACTTTGATTTATGCGTTAAGGAACTCTCGACGGGCTTAATCTACTGTAGCCTCTGCTCTGTGTGTGTGTGTGTGTGTGTGTGTGTG